GTGAACAACAATGGCGGATTAAACAACAGTTGTTCAGAGCCATTCAGAGCACCGAAGATAACTCGGAAGTTTTGAAAAATTTCTTTTGTAATTGTATACGCGCGGTTTTTTTTTTTTTTTTTATTAAAATATACATTTACTTACAATGCGTTGTGTTATAAACAAATTTTTGATTACTTCTTCTTTTTTTTTTCTTCTATTTTAAAAGATGTTCATTTGACTTGATACGTCACACTACGTTACTCGTTGATATAATGATCGACAAAAAAAAACATTGAATTAATTTGTAATTAATTAAAATGTAAATAAATGCTAAACAAAACAAAACAAATGAAAATTAAATATAACAATAAATATAAACGAATAATATAAATGAACGTTTATGAAAATAGTCAAACGAAAAAAAAAAAAAGGTTGAAAAGTATTAAAAAGAAAGATGATTGATTTAGCGTAAAATAATTTGAAAGAACTTTCGAATAAGTATAAAGGCATTTCTTTCTTAGTTTTTTTTTTCCCCGCCTTTGATGATATGCGACAAGGAGAAGGAGAAAGAGGAGAAGGAGGAGGAGGAGGAGGAGGAGGGGAAACGGCACATACGAATGAATTTTAAAACCAAACGCAGATGACGTCTCGCTCATCTTCATACCGTACTTCCGGTATACTTATAGGTATAGTACTTTTTTTTTTTTACATAGAAACTTACTGAATACAACTTAAATCAAATATTTTTAATCTAAGCTTTTATTTATTTCTTTTTTGTCAATATTTATATACACATACATATTATATATAAGCTAATTTATTTATATATTATTGTAATATATATTGCATATAAAAAACTTATTATTATTATTATTATTATTATTATTATTATTATTAATTGACTTTAAAAATTCGAAAATTCATTGCTGCAAATACCAAGCATATTTCTTTAAGATTATATACACAAATGCATATATAAAAAATATAGTAATTGAACAATAATCTATTTATGATAATTTTTACCATTAAATTGCGATGAATTTTTATTAATCATAATTATGTATTGTTGAAGAGCGTCAAAAAAGCGTTGCATCATAACGTCAACTGCTTCATATATTGATATAAAAAGACATCGCATATATTTGATGCAATTTTTATTATCATCACTATTCTCAGATGTATTAAATACATCATATCCTGCTTGTTTCATATTTACTTTCATATAATCCCATACGTAACGACATGCTTCAACCAAAAACTCAATCTTATTCTTACTCCTTAATATATATACAGCTGTATTGAATATAAAAGGTAATATATCTTCAGACTTTTTAATTCTCTTCAAGTCATTTATGAGATTGTTAAAATCATTAACAATAGGTATTTTTCGTCTACTTTGATTATCAGTATTCTTAGACAAATTGATGAGTAACATATTAAGTAATTGTTTGAGTTTATTTGAACTGTTGTCAGTTGATGATGAATTTGATTCGTCGATATTTCTCAAAAACGTTTTACCTAATGTAACAATTAATAACATCGGATCTATTAAAGGTATTCCATGGATTTTTAATTGTCCACCTTCAAAGTTTAACAAAGAAGTCGACGTTGTAGGAAAATGATTACTTGTTATTTCCCCCGTTACATCATTCATCGCATAATATTTAAAGTTTCGTATAATAGCAGCATTTTCTTCCATTTGATTTGTATTAAATTCCGCATTAGCTTTCTCTTTTGCATATTGATAACGTTTACGCAAATTCTCATCGCGTAGATTCTTTTCAAACTCTTTTAATACTAATCCTTGTGTCGTTCTAATTACATCTTTAGCAAATTGAATATTTATCACGGAATTCATAAAGAACAATACATGAGTTCCTAAATAAAAGATATCTTGAATATCAACTCTTTCTGATTCTTTATACTTGTTGTAAATTTGGAAACCTTTATAACCAATACCGATCAAATTGATGGATATATTGGTTACTAATATAACGTCGTATACTGTCATAGCTGTTTGACTGACTCTTACACCTTCTTCAGCAGCTTTCTTAAGAAGAACAGTACTACCTTGAAGTACTAATGCAACAGTAAATCCAGATATTCCTAACCAAAGAGATAAATTGCCTCCATTAAATGGACTGATGGATTCTTTGTGTATGGATTTATCATATAATTCTGATGCACAATTCCCAGCACTCCAAACACCTTGCACAAACATCGCTGTTTGTCCTGTTTATTGTTAAATATGATTAACAAACAAAAAATGACTTAATGTGTGACTTGACTTGACTTAACAATAAAAGATTAAATTTATATAAAGAATTCTTATTTACCTGCCGCAGCAACTAGTGGACCAACAGGAGTAAAGAGTGATACAACTCCTACGCCAACGGTAACAGCTGGGCCTACCGTATTAACTGTGTAGTTAATTGTAGATATAACATGTGCACGACTCGAACATTCATAAGAGTCTTTAGCAATTAACCATACAGTTGAACAATCTGGAGTAATTTGAAAATCCGGATTTGGTTGGTAATAACCATCTTTTGGATAGACCATTGTACACTTTGGAAACTTATTATTCAATATATAATCTTCCCAATTTTCGTATATTCTACCTTGAATATCCAAATACCAAACAATAAAATTCTTCTCGTTATTATAGTGTTTTAATTTAAATACAGGCAGACCAATTATTTCTTCTTCAGCCTTCATTTTACATTGGTCAGTTATTTTATTACGAAATATCATATTATATACGATTCCATAATGTATTAAATTGGTATTAGGTTCACAACTGTATCGTAAAATCTTATGTAAAATAACACTTATGATTTGTTCCATTTGAGGAGAATATTGAATAAGATCATTTATATCAGTATCATCTGTTATGTTTTCAGTATCAATAGATAAAATATTATTCGAATCAGAAGTTGATTCAGAAAATGGTGAACCACAAATAGCATATCCTATATTTTGTTTAATTAATTTATAATCATCTTTTTTACATACCGTCCAATCTGGAAGTAATTCATAAAAATTTTGTTGATAGGCAACAGCTTTCTCCAACAATTTATCCTGTTTTAAAAAATATACGTCAAATGTTAACAAAAATATCCGTAATATATAAATTTTGATTAAATTTATAAATCAAATATTATTAATATTATTATACTAACCCACTGCACATCCGAAAATTCGACGACTGTTGATTTGCTTTCCATTTTTGAAGAAAATAAATTCTTTAACTCTTTTATCCAGCCAAATGCAACTGCGACTTATTCTTAATTGACGTTGCACATAACTTTAATGAAATATTTTCTAATAAGGGAAATCCCGGATACAGGTTGTCCATGCTTACAAAAATAATAATTAATTACAAATTATATAACTAGATTTTGTATGACTTATACATTGAAATATATAATTACTTGTTGAATACAATTCTAAATGTTTTGAAACATTTATAAAATAACAATTACACGTTTTACAAGTGAAATTTCTTTTGAATTGAAAATTTTCAAAATGACACGAACAAAATAATAAGTTTGGAAAGAAGCGCGTTATTTGATTGGCGGCAAGAGAAATGGGAGATATCTATTGGTCAACATTTGCTAGGGAAAAAAATAGAAAATACCGATTGGTGAAGACCTCTGGTGACAGGTGTGGAAACTTAAGAAATTTCACTTTAATTGCATGTAAATTTCACGTCCTTTTTTTCTCTTTATGTAACTATTTTATATTATATATATATATATATATATAACTATTTTTAGGTTAGGTATGAAATATGATATCAAAATAAACATTTAATGAATTTTGATAAAATAAAATATTATGCACTTTAATATAATATGCATTGTAAAATAAAATATATTATTTTTCACTGTAATCAATTTTCATAAATCATATGTTTCATCTAATATACGAATAAACACACCATAACACCATTTAGATAGTTAAAATATTATGTAAAAACAAATCACAATTATTATTTATTTATTGTATCAATAATATAGTAATTATTCTTAAAAAATTATACTTATATAACCTATATTCTGAATTTTCTAATGAATTATCATCTATACATACTTTGTTGTACATTATCGTTGCTATGGTTAAATTGATCCACTTGTATGAATCTAATAGAATTTTCTTTACTTATTATACGTAATTCTTCTAAATCATGTTATAAATTTTATTATTAAAATTTGAATAGAATAAATATGACATTAACACTATCACGTGTTGATTATATTTCTGTAGGTGTTACTTCTCGTGGTACAACCAGAATCTTTCCACCAACAGATCCCAAACAAACTCAAAAGTTTGCCGTTGCTGATCATGATGGTATACTTCAAGTATTTGGTAAATCATCTCAATTTTATTATTTTCAATAAATTCATTTCTATATACAAAAACAAAACAAAATGATATTTGATTTTTTTGTTTTTTTTTTTTTTTAAACAGGTACAAAGAAAGGAGAATTACAAGCGTTATTCAAATCATTACCCGGACCAAAGATTAATAAAATGATTCTTGGTGGTTCATTTGGTACACCAAAAGATAAGATTTTTGTTGCATATGAAAATTCAGTTAAAGGTTTTACCAAAAAAGGAAAATTATTTTTAGAATTTGATACTAGTCTGTTGGATCCTATTTCTGCTTTGTAAGTTTAATCTCATTAATTCTAATCATTTATTTTAATTATAAATAAAATACTAATTTAATACATGTATACGTTTATACAGTAAAAATGTAAAGTATCTACATATACATTTATTATTTTAACATATATTGAATTGATGTTTGTATTGCAATATACATGAAAAATGTATGACAAATTATTGACATGTAAAATATGTTACAGATATGTACTTGGTCCAGATTTAGCAGCATGTGCTCGAGATCTTTATCATAGATATCACGATTGCAAAGATGCTGATTCATATTTGGCTGGTGAAATATTAAACGATGTTGTACTTTTACCTAGCGACAATTCTATGGTATATGCCATTCTTGCTTGTAGTGATTGTGCAGTAAGTATTATTAACACTAGAATTATCAATAGTTGATACGTAGCTGTCTCTACCACAAAATTACAGTCAAAATAACTGGTCTTTAAAAAGATGTAAAAGTAAAATATATTTTTATATTTATTGACTTATTATTAATTTACAAAAGGAACTTCCTATTCTGAGATTTTAAAAACTGTATAATAACAATAAGTACAATAATAGAATATTTGATATCAAATTATTTTTGATATCAAATCAAATCAACGACCAATCAGTCAAAATGGCTGGTGTGGTATAGTTCTAATGTTAAAAGAAAAATAATTGAACAAAATTATGATTATATTTAATCTCATTAATAAAGAATATTATTTATCTGATATTTATTTTAATATTATTCCAGATACGTGTTTTACATGGAACAATGAGACCAACAGTTTTAAGATTGCCAAGTATTCCTACTGTGCTTGCTGTATATAGGTTCTGTTAATAGTGTATATAATTATTTAAGACAAATCTTCATTTTGTCATAAATTGTATTAAGTGTAGTATTAATATTTACGTTCTTAATTTTCTTTTTTTTTTTTTTTGTAGAGAAAAAGAAATTGAATCATCAGAACGTGTATTGTTAGGTACCATTGATGGTAAAGTTGGTTTATTAACTCTGCAAGGAAACAAAACGTTAAGAATTACTTGGTTGATTAATTCTATGGGATCTGAAATAACTTCTTTAGATACATTTGAATTGCAAGATGGTTTAGATATACTTATCGGAAGACAAGATGGAATTATTGAAGTATATACGTTTCCAGATGAAGATATGTCACCATGTTTACGTTACCGTTATGTAATTATTACATATTATTTTTTTATATAATAAAGGAACATAAAAATTATTTAATAATCAAAGAAAAATAATATTTTATAGAATGCTGGTGAAAGTATTAGTACAGTTGTTGGTGGAATCATCGGTGCTGTTGGTTATCCTGAAGTTCTCGTTACTACTTATTCCGGTCGAATATTTGGTTTAACTACTAAACCACCTGGATTATTAGAAGCTGGACAAAGTGATACGGTCATAGCAAAATTGAAACTTGAAATACATCAGTTGGAAGAGAAACTTGCTGAAGAAAGAGAAACTAATAATTTTATGGCTGATCCTTTAGCACCATTAATATTAGCTGTAAAACACAGGTTACTTGATTATCTTTCATTTTGAATTGTTTATATTATTTATAATTATTATTATTATTAACTGACATTAGGAAGGAACTCGAAAGTTCATTGCCGCAAATACCAAATTCCGGGGCCATTGTTCCTGTCCTTGAGCACAATCCTTCCATTCGTGGTCTTCGTATCCTATTTCTTTCAAGTCCCGAAATAATATTATCCTCTCATCTACGTCTCGGTCTACCTAGTGGTCTATTCATATTATTTATAATTGTCAATTATTTTTAGAATGGTTTTACATGAAGAAGATGCATCGTATTCACTCTCAGTAGAATTAGATACATCGATAGATAATATTCTTATACAGTCAGATACACCGATAGTTTTGTTAGATGTTGAAAATAATAGTGCAGTAGTAAGTTTATCTATGTGCAATCCAAAAGAAGGAAATTTTATACTTGCTACATACAGATGTCAAGTATGTATATATATATATATATATTTATTGTTAAGATATACTTTGAAATAATTATAATTTGTGATATAAATTATAGATCAATACTAATCGACTCGAAATGAGATTAAGAACTATCGAAGGACAACCGGGTACTTTACAAATTTATGTTACATCACAGGTATCATTTAACTTTATCAAAATCTAAATATTACTTTTCAATTAATATTATAATTAATATTAATATTTATCACATAGGTACAACCAAAATGTTGTCGTAGAATATTAGTACCTATATATGCTTTATCATCACATAAAAGACAACACATTGAAGATGCAGAAACATTGGCAGGAGGACCTTTTAACGAATTAAGATTGAGTGGTAATTTTACAGTTAATGAGGTATCAACAAAATCATTCATGATAATATTAATATTTTATATCATCATTGTAAAGTATAAAATATATTTTAATGTTTTCATTTATTTTTTTTTTTTTAGATGCACGCATGGCTTTCTCTTGTATTACCGGATATTCCTGAAAGACCTCATTTATACGACAACGAAGCCATTTTAATATATAAATCATCTTTCATTGGAACAATATTGAAGTGTAAATATAAGTTAGTTATTAATATTTTTTATTTATAGATAATAAGTTAAGCAACTTTGATATTATTATTTGTATTTTTTTTTTTTTACAGAAAAGGAAGCGCTGTATTTTTGGGAGAAAATATATCGACCATTATTATACTTAGAGATATATTGACAAGAGAAGCAACTAAACGTAAAATTAAATTAGAAGTATTTTGTGGTAATAAATATTTATTTGATTGATAGAAATTAATTATAAAAAAATATATATATATATATTTTAAAACTGTTATTAACACTAGATATACCAGACCAGTCATCATTTTGACTGGTTGACGCTATTTTAATTCAAAATTTCTACTTCACACACATGTAACATTTGAGTTCTGTAAATAATTAAGCGTTTTGTTTTTTTACAAATATCTATAAATCTATTTATCTATTAAAGTTATTATTGTTAAACATTTTAAAATTATTTTTTAAAAGTAAATAAAGACTGGAAGCTTTAAAAAGCATTTTCTTTTTTATACACCAGTCATTTTGACTAGGATGGTAGAAAATAGATATACTGAAAATGGTGGTATATATCTAGTGTTAAATAAATTGTTTTATAATAATATTTATTGATCATTTTAAAAAATGATTTAAAAAAACAAAAAAACAAAAAAATATTCAACAAATTTATAATGATTTTAATGATATTAATTAGATGTTGCAGTTGGTAGTATTTCAAGAGTATTAGAACTTGTAAAACCACAATTAGATGGTGCTCATGAATTAATTGAAAAAATCAAGATTTTAGATGCCCTTGAAGAATTTGAATTGAAGACTAATCCAAAAGATAATTTATGTACTAAGTATCAAGATTTAATAACAAATGAACAAAACATTAGAACACAAATGGCTAAAGATACAGAAGTTTTAAACAGATTACATGGCGTTATAACAGATTTATACGTTGATTGGGAACGAGCTAAAGGTGCTCGAAGGTAACGTTTAATTATTATTCCATTTTTTATATTATTAATTAATCATGTTTTTTTTTGTTAAATAGGATTAGTAGTAAGTCTGCAGCTGAGAAATTAAACGATTCGCTTGAATCAAAAGATTTCGTTAAACTATTACAAATTTTTACCGGTAAAGTTATTTCTTCATGAAATATTTCAACTGTGGAATAATAAGAAGAATTCAAATCAAATATATACAGGGTGTTTCAGAATTCATTGATCAAATTGTAAAAGTATATTCTACATATTCTAAAAATGTTGTTTGTAGTTCACTTGTTGCAAAGGTAAAATTGTTCGTGGTGCACTTCTGAGACATCCTGTATTTATTTACATATATATGTGTGTTTCTATATGTAGGTGAATAAAAAAGTGGACCAACAGATTTCTATAAACATCTTCAAGTAAAAAATATATTTTCTTATATTATCATTAATTAACCATAAAAATGTACATATGCATTATCCTTGAGAGCATTATTAGTTACAGTATGTGTGTGTGTGTTGTGTATATATATATATATATATATATATATATATATACATACAATTTATATTTGTGTATACATAAGTGAATATATATATTTCTAATTGTTTGTATATTTTAAATCGATATACAATATTATTTTTTTGTTTATTTTTTTTTTTTATCTTTTTCTTGTTTTTTTTTAATTATTATTATTATAATAATTATTATTATTATTCTTACTAACTGTATATAAATTACAAAGTAGTTGAAAAGAAGAAAAGGGATAATGCTATTATAGAAAAAGTTAAAGTTATTTTCATAATACGCAATTAAAAGATTCAAATGAAGAATTATATTTTGGTTCTTATTCTCATCCATCTTAATCATTGAAATATATATTTTTTTTTCTGTTTTCTTTTTTCTTTTTTTGTTTTTTTTTCCCCCCTCTTACACGTACATTCATCATGTAAATGAAAATTATACACAATTGTCTTATTTTTATTTGACATTATTAATTACATAAAAAAGTATTGCCTGAAATGTAAAGAAAAAAATAAAATGAACAAATTATTTTGATTGCCAAACAATCTACATATATTATATATATATATAAAAGAATATATTATTTTAAAATAAATATTTATCAAATTATTATGAGAAAAGAAGTTTAATAATACATACATATTATCGGTGGTACGAACAACAGCTTCTAAAGGATCCCTTTCAGAATTACCATCAGCTGTTGTTGTAACTGTATATTCCAAAGTTTGTCCTCCAGCATGTGGTAATATACTTTCAGGATTATCATCTGGTGGAACAATTTCTACAACTCTGGTAGTACCTTCTACCTCACGTTTTAAATCTCTCATAAAATCTTGTATACTTTTAGCTTGAGCACCTTTATCATCATCCTCTTCAATATTTTTCCCCGTTATTATTCTATTTAAAGGTCTGTCAGATCTTCCTCGAGAATGTGTATTCAAATGTCTGTTCATATCACTTCGTACTCTGAATGGTTTTCCACAAATTGTACATGGATGTGGTTTCTCACCGGTGTGTATACGACGATGATTTTGTAAGTAACTACTTGCTCTAAATGTTTTATTACAATATTCACAACAATAATTCTTTTCACCTGTATGAATGCGTCTGTGAACTATTAAAGAATACTTCCTTGCAAAATCTTTACCGCAATATTCACATTGAAATTGTTTTTGTTCCGAATGAATACTTGTCGAATGATATTTAAGATCACCCCATTGTCTAAAATGACGACCACATATTTCACATTTATATGGTTTATCACCACTATGAAGACGCTTATGTACCTATAAGATTAATTATTACATTAATATAATTAATTATTATTAATAGTAGTACCAGTAATGAATTAAGCAGCTATATAGGACCCCAAGGTTTTACAATTTCTTTTCATATTAGAGTTTAAGGAAAATTACGTTATTATTTTCTAACTTTAGTTTGAGGACTCCGAAATACCAATTGGGGCATCCGCTTAACTTGATACACCACTGTAGTAATAATGATATCATTTATTAACCCTTTCAATGACAATAATTATTCATCACTTAATATTTCATCTTTTATCTGCTTTACAATCAAATTCATATTCCATATTATCATTGGATTTATACAGTAGATTCTTATTTGTGATTCAAGTATTCATAATGTGAACAACATAACTGTATTGAAAGGATTATTGTATTATAATATTTATTATTTTGATTTACCTTTAATGCACTAGCTGCAAAGAAACTTTTTCCACAAACTTCACATTGATGTGGTCTTTCACCACTGTGCGATCTCATATGATAAACAAGACTATTTTTATGATGAAATGATCTATCGCATTGAGTACATGTCAATTCGTCACCTAAAATTAATTAATTAAATTACGAATTAATTTGTATCTGTTTAAAAAGATATTCTATTTGTTCTAATACTTATGAATTATTTTCTTTTTATACACATACTTGATTTTCGTGCTTTCATAGTTTTCTTTTTCTTTGCCGTCTGTTGGATATTATTAGTCTTTTCTTTTTCAGGTAAATTTTGTTCTGTAGTCGTAGATGTTCTTGCATGGTCCCTCTGTACATGATCAGTTACATCAGTAATAGCCCATAACATAGCTTCATTGTTTGTATTTGATAAAGGTGATTCCGTTTCATCATTAATGTGGGCTGCAGTTTCTTCAACTAATATACAAATAATGAAAATACATTTTCATAAATGAATGAAAAGTATATATTATTTAAAAGTTAAATGATTATACTTACCAACACCTCTTATTCCTTCCATAATATCTTCTGGTTCGCTAAATTCTTCTATCACAGTATTTTCTAGGCCTTGTACCGTTTCCGGTACCGATATTGTGATACTAGTATTTGTCGCTTGAGCTATTCTAGTCTCTTGTTTAACTGGTTCATAATGTACCTAAACAAAATAATTCATGAATTAATTAAAATAGGACAAATGTGTTGAAAAAAAAAAACATAAAAATTAAATAATTCACCTTTAAATGTTCAAAAAATTTTAATTGGCTATTATATCTAGAGCCACACAATTCGCATTCAAATACGTGTACTTGCATTTCATTTCTTTGTTCATTTATAGAATCTTGATTAATTTTACCGACATCTTTTTTAGTTGCATTCTTTTTACTCTGTTGTTTCAATTTACGTGGAATTCGTTTTTTATGCGGTAAAGAACGTTTAGGTCCAGGAGTCAATGTTGTATCTTCACTACTTTCAGCAGATACATTAACATCGTATTCACTTTTCACATTAATAAATTCCTGTTTAATGCTGTGTCCCATTCTCTTAAACGATTGTAAAGTTGGATAGATAGTAGTTGGATTTGGTTCGGGTACCGTTTGTATGGAATAACCATTGACTGATCCTAATGTTTCTAAATGTGAAACGTCTGGCAGTGCTGAATCTTCATGTTGCGATTGACCATGAAGTTGTTGATGTTTTTGTTGTTGTTGCAATTGAACGGCGACTAATGCTGCTGCTAATTTTCGATCTTCCTAGTAATATGTAATAAAAAAAAAAAGAAAAACAAAAACAAGCAAAATATATGTATCAATAAAATTATACATTTATATATGTATATATGTATAAATTACATACAGAAAAATATTATATATATATATGTTAATTACTTCTGTTAATTCGGGTAACAAATCAGCTTCGTAATATTGCGTTGCAGCACCATAATCAGTCCCATTGATCATATCAACTACCATCCGATCAGAAATTAAATCTCCATTTAATGTTATCAGAGGTACACCTTTGCTCATTGATTCTCCATCCGCTCTTTGTATGGTGATGTACTGATCACCTTCCATACCTTCTAATAATACAGCTTGTGCTTCTTCCGTTGTTACCTCCATAGTTATATATATATATATTTATTATATAATATGTATGTAAGTGTGTCTATTATTTGAAAAAATATTTTTCAAAATTTATTGTTGATTCATCTGTGCGAGGCAAATATTTGTACCTGGTAATAATAAAATTATTATTATTATTAGTAGTAGTAGTAGTAGTATAATTATATATATTTTTAATGAAAATAATTTCTTTCTAATTAACATTATATATTATTTAAATTAGACATGTAATTTATATACTATTAAATAATACAAAAAAATATTACTGTACCTACAATAGGTTATTGATGTTATGTTGATATTGAGGAAAAAAAAAGTGATACGGTCTTTTTTTTTTTTAATTTAATTTACAATTGTAATTATTTGTACCATTGTGTAAAATAATAATATTAAATTAAAGTTAATTAATTTTGTATTATTAAAATGACCATTTTATTGTTCAAATTTGTTTAAATTTGTTCTTTTAAAAAATATGAAAATTTTAACATAAAGTTAATGTAATATTGTCAAATTGAAAGTAAATGAAGATTTAAATTACGCGCCTTTATAAACTGAGAAATGACAGTGAAACCAAGGTCACTGCACTCAATGAATACACGAAAATACTCAATAATTGATTCACTAATAACAGTAATAAATTTGCCTTCCTTCATCTTTCATTATTCACCTTCTATAGTCCAAAGTTATGTTCTGCCCGTTTTCTTTACTATTTGGTTAACATAAATAAATCAAAATATTGAAACACTGTAGAACAAAATGTGACAACAGTGCTTGGCTCTTGACGCCATTAGAACGGATGTAAGACTTTTACGCCACCTGTCTGATAACTATTAATACACGTTCTTAATGAATATAACAATTATCATTTTTTATCCTTTCTCATGTTATTTACTATCATTTTAAACATGCGCATTCCTTCCAAAAGAAAATAAACATTCATCAAAATATTCATTCGCATTAAAATTTGTTACGGAAATTAACCAACAAAATTCATTTATATACAACTAATTTGTATAAACAATTTAAAAACAATGAATTTATTATAATACAAAGTTCACGATTAGAATAATAAAAAAAAGTATTCATTGTAACATCGAAACTCGTTTTGATTAGACGATTATACCGGTACTCGTAAAATGAACCAATAGAAAGTTACTATAAGAAAAAAATATTTGATATATTGAAATAATAAATACAATTTATATATAACTATAACAATTATTATATAAATGTATAATTATAATGATATTAATAAAATTATTAAACAAATTGCATAATATTATGCTTATAGAAATATCAACCAATGAAATTAATCTTAAGAAAATGAAGTAACCAATGAGCTTTTGACAGGTTAGTAGTATAAGCAAATGAAAACAAAGAAAGAACGCGGTTGGTCTATTCCGTTTATAGTTAATATACTCTTTGATGGTTGCAGTAAAACAAAAGTACTAACGTATAGATAATCATATAATTGTATTGTTTATGATAAAAAAACAGCGAGCCAACGTAGCGCCGCGATAGCTCGTAGGAACTCCGTGCCAAGCAATGGAGGCTCGTTTTCAATAAAGAATTCCCTTGATTGTACGAAATGTGTTTTTGAGTGTGTGAAAAGTGTAGTTTTCGTGTGATAGTGAGACTTCCTCAGTTATTAACGCCACTGCACACGCTGCCGTAGGTGAGTTTCATTTAAATAATTATCGAAATTTATATATGGTATGTATCGTGTTAAATATATCGAACAAATTTGCTTCTACGCATTCTTGTGATCATCATTTCGTGTCGCGTACTACGTATTTCAAATATAAATATAACCGATATATATATATATATATATATATATATATAAGTACGTAAGTGCATATACTTTTTATATATATGGATGGATGCATATATATGTATATATATATATATAGATATATAATTTATGTATTTATATATGAGTATATACATATGTGTGCATGATGTGTATATGTATAAGAGTATGTAAGCGCGAATAGGATTCGTATGGCGTTGAAATAGAAAACGTAGGACCCAGTAACTTACGTAAGATGTTTTTAAAATTGTAAACTCTATACTATACGTTTGATTTCTAATACAATGACGAGTTACTCCCATATTGATATGTGAACGTTTGACCTTAAAGGGAAATATCTATCATATGTAACTATAATATATTATAGAATATTGAAGTATATACATATACATATATATATATATATTTATTTTCTTATTTTATATTATATTTATTTTATATTATTCATAAATAATATTGAATATTAGAAATATTTGAACGGGGAAGAAAAAAGAAACAAAAGGAAAAACATAAATAATTGGAACCTTTCTAAGAGTATACTATATTGGTACAAGAATACAATTTAGGTGTGTATGCGTGTGTATATGTGTTGGAGCGAAAGTGACAGGCAACGCTACCATAATTTTTATGTGAACACTATAAAAGAAAGAGAGAGAGAGAGAGAGAGATAAAAGAATAATGCAAATACAATTTTATTATGAACATTTTTTATGTTTATTAACAATGTTGATATCAAAATATTTCATTGGAATAATATTTTAATTAGTTTCATTATTATTTTCAATTAATACAAATATTTTAGGTTATACATATATTACATTGTACATATATATATATACATTAGGTTATATATATATATAATATAATGTAATATTTTTAATTTATGTGTATGTAATAAGAGAAGTAATTAAAGTGATAACAAATGAAATCAGTAATTATATATGAAACCAATATTGTGTGTTTCTTATCTTAAAATATGTCACTTCCAGGAAGAGTTAAGATTTGATTGATAATATGTTGTAATAAGGGATCTTGATGTAAACGTTAAGAGATAAATAAATAGATAGATAATAGGTAGATAGATAAATTAATAGATAAATGTAACTTTATATTAAATTGATAATTATTAATCTCGAGTAATAATATGATTCGAGTAGTAATAATTGTTACAAATGTTAACCAAATCTACTTAACAGTTAACTAAAAAGCTAGTATTCTAATTAATATCATTATTTTATATAATAAATGTAATTTAATTTGTTCATTTATAAACAATACTATTAATTAATTATTGTTATATATATTTTTATGGGTTTTTCTTTTTTTTTATAGATATAAATCATAAAATAATTACGTACGTAACGTAAGAATTTAATTCTATTGATTTATTATCTCATACCATTTATTATATTTATATATATATATATATATATATATATATATATATATATAAATTAGTAAAAAAAATTTTAATCTAATCTTTTTTTTCTTTCTTTCACTTTTATGTTTCTTTTTTTTTCTTTCTAAACAGAGATCGTTATCTTTAATCAATCAATAATAGCGATAATAAAATAGAATTAGTTAAAATAACGATATATACTTCCCCCCTTGTTAAGATGGCGGGAAAATTTAAAAAGAAAATAATCAATTTGAAATTTCTATTATTACATATTACGTAAATGATTCTGTGCGTGTATACGTTTGTACATAATATTGTAGTATATATATATATATATATACATTGTAATATACGATTCAAAGTGTATGCTTTTGAAATGAGCTATTTACAAATTTATCGTGGTTTCCGGCATACCGATAAATAGGGGTCAAACGTCAATGCCCGTCGTTTATTTTTTTCTTTTTAGTAAAAGTAGCAACCTTCTTTTTTATTCTATACAATTTTATTTAGTAATACATTTTGACCATTAATATCTATTCCTTTCTTTTTTAACTGTATAATAATATATATATATATATATAACGTTTTATCTGTATTATATATATATACACTAGTTGATTGTAACAGTTGATTCAAATGTATATTTAAATCATATATATATATATAATGTGTAAAGATATATATACAGTATATATACAAATATATATATATATATATACAGTAGAATCTTGATTAACCAATATGATCAAGGGGTCAAACTAAACGGATAAATGAAAGTTCAATGGATAATCGAGTATAGGATTAAATTATTTCAAATATATTTATTAATATACTTGTGTGTATACATTCTATCAAATATATATATATATATATATTTACTTAATATACATTTAATTCGTGTTATTTTCATTCTGTAAATTTTTCATTCTTTATTAAATCTTCTTTGAAAGTAAAGTAATATTAAAAACAAAATTGAACAAAGAACAAAATGTAAATTACGTAATTATTATATTGAATAAAAATATGATTATTATATATATATATATATATATATATATATATATATATATATATATATTAATTAAAATTTTAATATGCAAGATTTATTAACACTAGATATACCACCATTTTCAGTATACCTATTTCTACCACACTAGTCAAAATGACTGATCTGATATATCTAGTGTTAAAATAATAAAATAAAATTGTAACTAAAGTTAGATCTCTATACACATTATTAATATATATATATATATATATTTATGTATATGTGTATGTATTAAAATATAGGAAACAATAAACTCAACTCTCTCTTTCTTTTTCCTTTTATTTCTGCAACACCGCAGGTTTAAAAACAAAACAAAAAAAGAAAGAAGTTAATATATACCAACTTAATTTATTACCGGCTGGAAAAAAACCACGAAGCATTGATTTCTACTTAACAAAAAAAAAAAGTAATATACAGTATTGGTCGTTGTGGTATGCAACATAAAATGTAAATGCATGCATGCATGTATGCATACCAACGTCCAACGACCGATACTTATTTAACTTACTTGTGGTGGATTTTATAAATAGCATTATTTTCGACTAAAATGTGTAGCGGTAGTAGCAGAGTATAACAGTAATACAACACCACTACAGATCAACAGATATATATATATATGTTGATTATACTTGTATGTGTAGTACCATTTTTATCATGATCATCATAATCATCATAATCATCAGTGATCGCATACGTAAAACGATGATCCAGCGACACAAATACATACTCACAAATAAAGATGAACATGTTTCAGTGTTAATGTGTATAAACATATTATATATATATGGACGTGTGTGTGGATGTCTATGGATGTAGATGTAATGAGAAGGCGTTCGAGAACGACCGCTAGAAATAAGATTAAAATCGATCAAATCCTTCCGTAATACGCTAAGTATTACAGCATCAACTCGATAGGAGGTAGGATTTCTAATAAAAACAACTAACAGTATTCTCAAATAAATTATATGTTAATTAATGTAATCTTGATTCTGGTTTTTTTTTTCTTTTTTGTAATTATTGATTAGTTATGACTAATATGTAAAATATTAGATCCATTGGACGCGTTAAATACAGTTTCGTATTTTTTTTTTTTTGTTACGCATAAATAAACATAAATATGTTTGTTGACGATGACAATGTTGTGCGTGGTCATATAATCGAGATTAAAGATATTTGCATAAATGAAGTTTTTAATTAACAATAACGTTTAATACAGTAAAACAAGGAAGATAAGTCATGCCAATTTATAAACAATTAGGGGATTCGATGAAAATGTGATTTGTTATATTGAATACTTTTGTTGATATTTATTTTTCCTTGTTTTTCATCATCATCGTTGCAATATCTTGCGTTACATTCATTTTTCCTATTTATTTGTTTTTTATTCTTTGGATAAGGAAATTGATCAATAATTGAATTGATAATTGACCAATCATTACACGAGACATTTATTTTGTACAAATTTGAAAAAAAAAATAGTTGAACGATATCTTATTTTTATTACTTTTCATTTAATTCTATTTTTCAAGATGGCGAACTACTGTAGTTACGCATCACACATTTATTATTATTACAATATACATTAAACATAAGATTAATTAT